AATGCGGGGTAACATGTGCTAGCAAAACACAAAGGTGTGGGTTCCCAGGTCCCGGCCGGCCCACAACCCTCCTTCAGCTCAAAATCTCTATTCCACAATATCCCCGTTTCACAAGTTCTCCAAATTTCATATGTTGCAACCATGAGACTCTCAAGTGTATCACACGAAGTCGAGCTAAAACAGGATGTGCGCTCCCAGGGGAGGGACAACCACCCCACTGGCTGATGAGAGAGCCCACCAACTCAGCTGGTTGGCTGCTCGCACCGCCACAAACCACTTTTGCAGTTGCACTGGTTTCCTCACCACCACCCAACACCATTCAATAATCCCTTGATAAACCAATTTTTAACCTAGATTTATTAGTCCTTTAATCACTCTGCAAAGTTAATAACTGTATAGTTATTCCAGGTTTGACTGGTGTTTCAGCCCTGGGTTACATTAGACTTAAGACTTTCCTTTCTGATAAAGCTTATAGTTGGTGCAGGTGACCCTGAGCCTTCCCTTAGACATGCTGCTATAGGCCTAGGCTGCTGGGGGGGCCCCATGATGCTTTGAGCTCCTCTTCTCTCTCCATCCATCTATATGTCACCACTACCTGTCACTAACTACACATTAGTATAACTACTGGTGCCATTCACACCAGACGTCCTAAGAATATGGCTGAGCTCAAGCAGCTCCATGAGGAAGAACTGTCCAAAATTCCTCTTGAACATTGTGCAGGTCTAATCCACAGATACAGGAAGCACTTGCTTGAGGTTAATGCTACCAAAGATGGTTCAATCAAAACACTGCAATTACTTTTTCCACCATCACTTTGTACATTTAATGGGTGTGTTCAGTAAAGACATGAAAGATCTTGACTGTGTTTTATCAGCTTATAAATACTGTTTGTTTGTGACCTTGGTGAAGATGAGATCACATTTTTTGACCAATTTATGCAGAAAACCAGGAAATTGCAAACAGTGCCATGACTTTATCTTGCAATTATAAATCATAGTTTTCTCTTAAGGCTTAGGTAATAGTCTGTTCACACACTGATGGGAAGATATCCTGGCATTCTTTACCGACATGCAGCACTCACCAAATGCTTGAATGCATTCATTTAAAAGCGCATCAAGAGATGCTGCCTTTCCCAGTGTGGATGATCCCATAGTGCCAAGATTGAAGATAGAGGTCAACAATTCCTGATCACAGCTTCGGACCACTCAGGATTTTCCTGGGAGAAGCAGAGAGACATGAGGCGGTGCAAGAGTACATTTTATGACATAGGAATAAAGAAAATGTCTGATCACACTGTAACTCTTAAAATGAAGCTGTATGAAGCATTTATACTTTATGTAAATTGATGTAGCCCCAGGCCATGTATATTTTCTGGTTTGCCATGCAGGGGGTGGACCAAAACAAACAAACAAAAAAAATCACTGCTAAAGGGCCAGCACACCTACAGTACATAATCCAAAAGGCAGTATACAGCAGGGCAAACACATGTATCCACATTCCTAAATTGACCTATGGATAAAACATAAACTTTATTTTGCAAATTAGCATAGAAACATGGATAAGTTTAGTATCTGTGATCATTTAGACAAATATCAAGTTATATATTTTGTTAACAGTATACAGTGGGATGGCACAGGGCTCAGTACCATTTGGCATTAGAAACATTGCCTTGTGACAGAATAAAATTTAACTTTATGTCCAGAACACTTTCACTTCACCTCCAAGATTTCCCAGCATACAACAGTGACAACAATCAGTTCAGTCTGAGTGTTATGATACTTGGACCATCCATCAGCTGAGTGATGGAAAGTTAATCTGTGAGGCTGGCCATACATCTTGGTGAGGGCCACCATAGTCTCTGTGAAACAGTGTCTGGAGTTACTGCAAGAATCTGCTTCCAGTAAGGCTTCCTCAAATCTAAGATGGTCTTGCAGAATCTGAAACTTAAACCTCTGTGTAGCATCATTGGGCAGGATGTTCTCCAATACTGTTCTCAGATGAGCCAATTCTCTTGGGTCTGATGAGGTGAGACGAGGTATAGTAGGCATCGACCGTCTATACATCCTCTCCTGATTGAGTGTATCCTCAGGCTGTGGTCTGTCATAGTAACAGCAGGGTAACACTGCGCAACCACTCAGGGTAGCTTCACCTGCTCTGAGTAGTGATGTGAATTTGTAAGGCGAGTGCGCTCTAGAGGACGAGTGGTGGAAGGATGTATAAGGCTCAGCAGGCCTTCCTAGTTCAGGAAGTGTGGTCAGTTTATCAAGTAAAGCCAATTCAGAAATTTGCTTCAACATTTTCTGAGATGCCAGTGCTGGCAAATGGACCAGTTAGCTATACCGGTAATTGGCAGGCAGCTATGTCTTGTTCAGAGCACAGTAGTCTGTCAGCTAAGACGCTGGTGTTCCAATTGTACATTGAGAGAACTGTGTCCTCCCTTTCCTGACAGTTTGTACTTAAAGTTCAAACTTACCAAGTCTGAGCTCCCAAGTACAGGAATCCGAACTTGGCGTACTAGGTACTGAAAAATACCCCATGAATGTATTAGCTCCCACAGCATCCTTTAAGTAAGTGGGCACCACTGAAAACAAGCACGATGAAAAAATCTTTCATATTATTAATATTATTTCACTGTTCTATTTAATACAGCCTATGTAATATTAATGTAAATGTGAATGATACTGCATTAATTCATAAAAAAAAAAAAATTCAAATGACAAGTAGGGCTATTTGCCTTCACTTCCATGAAGGCTGATGATCAAAGTGACAATTCCTTGAATTTGGCATTTTAAATTTGCTAAAATTAAACACTGAACATTAGATGAATAAATCTTGGTTTATCATTACAGGCACAGTCTTTATGTATTGTAGATAGCCTATATAATTACTGTGATTTTCATGCCAACTTTTAAGAATTTTGGTGTCTGCATAAATAGGCTGAGTGACGGCACTTCCACCGTTTTTGTGGAATGATATGACATCATCTAAAAAGGGCATGCCAATGTAAAGGAAGAAAAACATGTAGCCTACATTTTATACATTATATTTATACTGCTTATCTTGCATTGTTTGCACTGTTTGTTGCTGTTAATATTGCAAGCTTATACTAGCCTTATGTTGGTTCACTGTTTACTTGCTCCTTGCATGGGGATATGTACATGCACATTGAGAGCCGATGTACCAGAGTCAAAGTCCTCGTGTGTCCGACGTACCTGGCCAATAAAGCAGATTCTGATTCTGATTCTGATATTGCCCTTATCACTGACTTCACTGAAGATACCTTTGCAGCTTTATCAGCTACCTCTAAGCATGTCAATAGCTGCAATAAAATTAATCAAACTTCTAAAAACAATATGAACAGCAGTCTTCATAAACAGTCAGCAATAATGACCATCACATTTTACAGATTAATTGTAAAATAAATGCTTTAGTTTCCAGTCGGCGTAACTGCTGACAGAACAGATAAAGCACCAGGATTAATCAACCCTGGCTGTTAGCCTGGTCTGGAGGAGGCTTCATCTCCATGTGCCACTGCCTTTGTGAAACTAAGTCACAGCTAAATAGAGAATGTGAAGCTGTTGTCACACCCTGTTGAATTTTGGGTAAATGTGTGATTTTGGGAGCTCATGCTCATTATCCATCATAGAGAAATACACTACATAAATTTGAGGTAATTTAAAAAACTAAATACTATCCCATACAGCTACATACCGTAGCGAATGCTTTAAATACATCCAAACGTCCACTTTAGTATTCAGTTTGAGCACAGACAGGGCAGAAACTGATTCACCTACAGTACTTGTGTTATCTGCAGGCAGCTGCTAGCTAGCGTTAGCTCCTGAACCTAGAGCTGAGGTCAGAGTGCAGAGTCATTTTTCAGTCTGTCGCTCTTCATCGATAGGATCTCTAGGTCGGCTGTGAGTTAGATACAGTCAGTTAAGGTTATCCATTCTGAATTACCACAGTCAGACTTCCTGTTTTGTACTTTTATTTTGACATTTTTTGTCCCTTGACATCTTGCCATTCAATAGCTCTGATCACTTACACCTGTTGCTCATTGTCACTCCCCTGCCGCCTCATATATTCAGTTTATTTTGACATTACTTCCTGTTTTTGTTTCACCTTAGTTTCGGTCTTTTTACGTTCTTCATCACTCACATTAGTTTCACCTGCTTCGTTATTGTTTGCACCTGTTTACACCTCTATTTAGGCAGCGTCCTCCCACAAGGACGCTGCCGGATTGTTCTAGACCCCAGCTCTGACTTTCCAGCATTTTCTTCGGTTTTGGTATTTTGTGTTTCTGATCTCGGACTGTTACCTCGGACTATTCTATTCTGTCTCGCCCACTTGTTACGGACTGCCACGGTGTATGATTATCGGACTTTCCCTTTTGGACAACGAACTTTGGATTCCCCTGGATGTATGTGTTTGCTGGCTCTGACCTGGGACTGATACCGACCGTGGGTTTTGTGTTTCACCTTGTCTTGTATGGTTTTGT